GCCTTTTAGCACAGTGCGCCTTATGGTCGTGAAAATACGGTAGTGCTTTTCTACTCTCCCGGAGTACTTGAAGCTCTTTATGCAACATTCCACATTCACCCAATCACACCCATTCTCGCAAGGACTTTGTCTAAACTGAGTGCTTTCTAACGACATTCACACACTACAATGGAGGCATCGGAGAGCAACTTGGGGTTAGGATACTTGATATGCAGACTGGAGGAGGCAAGGATAAAACCACCAACCAATCAGTAGGTGACCTGTTCTACCTCCTGAGCTACAGCCACCCCACCACATTTAAAATTTGAAGCCTCGAGCAGCCAGCGCCATCATGACCTCTAACCTTCAAAGTCGGGGGCCATTAGGCCCTGCAGCCACTTTGCCCAATGGCGGTCCTCCTCCCGCTGGGCAGTGCTTTCATCGTACATGTCGGCCGTTATGTCAGGAGGCAGAAGCTCCGCCTCCAGCTGACCCAGAGGTACGTCTACCAGAGGATGCTTGGAGCGTGTGCGGTACGCCAAACTGCGGGAGCCATTATCAACGCCACCATCAACATCAGATTTCCTGTCCAGAGACTGAAACACACACACACAGGTGCAAGATCAAACCAGACGGGACACATCACAGGTATTTACCCCCCATCCTTTTAATAAGGTGAGAACACAAAGTCTGATATCACACAGGTCCTTCAGTAACAGGAAGTGTTTAAAAAGAGTTTGATATGCTGTTCCCTGGTGTTGCCTGGTTAGATATGTTACCTGACTGTAGGTGTAGGAGGGGCTGCAGTCCAACTCCTCATCAACAGCCTTGAGTCTCTCCAGGAAGGACGATTCAGGAGGAGGGAGGAGCTGAGGCGCGCAGGTGGAACTCATCTCGTCGTGCGGGTTTCCTTCATATCTCTAAGCAATAAGCCAGAGGTCAGAGCAGCTTGCAGGGTCAGAGGTCACTGTACCACTTTGTGGTGGTCAGACATCAGCAAACCTGCAGGGAGCTGTCCATCCTCAGGTGTGTTGGAGACTTGTTCTGGGAGCCCAGGTGCATTCTGGGAGGTGAAGCCAAGCTGTCAGCATCACTGAGGAATGTCTGTCAAGATGAAAAGGTTTGTACAGATGGAAGTCCTGAAATTTTCATTTATGCAAGTTCTGACACTCCGAGTGAGTGTGTGTGTTTGTATGTGGCATCATGTTTGAGCGAGAAATGAGGCCTCACAGAGTGTCAGAGTCACCTGCTGCAGGTGAGACTGCACAGGTGCTCTTCATCCTGTTTCTGGTTCTCAGAGTTTGGATTAGTGTCTCTTACTGATAACCTGGATCTCACATGTGTGACATCATGACTGCACAGTGAGGTCAGTTTCCTGAGGACAGCAGCAAGGCGAAAGGTTAAAGGTTAAAGGTTAAGCACAGGTTAAAGACTCACCTCCTCAGCTGTATCTTCCTCCTCTTCTTCATCAGGACAATACTCTTCATCAGATGAGTCTTCATTATCCTCAAGTTCAATGTCAATAAACTGAGGGGCCTGCGGGACAGACAGGTACGAGGGTAAAGCATCACTGAAACTGACAACATTTCAAATCCAACTTAAAACATTTGAACACAGGCTGATGAGTTTACCTTGTTCACTGCAGACAGACCCCGGTTCACAGGCTGAAAGCAGACACACAGGTCAGGCTCACAGGTAAACTGTCAGAGAAGATTGTGGGATGCTGAACTCACCTGAAGGCTCTGTTTGAGTCTGGACCGAGTCCAGATCTTTGGCTCCTGATGAGAGACAGGCAGAAAGATATGTATTTTACATACATACAGAAAAAAGCAACAAATGCCTGACAGATACAGGTAGACACCAACAGGTGAACAAACTCACAAACATGGGGAGGTCCTGAGTGTCTCTGATTGCCGCTTTCATCATGGCAACCACACGCTCATCAGTGATCACCTCCTGAAACACACACATGTCTGAGTGTACGTGTTAGTGTGTTAGTGTGTGTGTGTGTGTGTGTGTGTGTGTCGCTGTGTGTGTGTGTGTGCGCGTGCGTGTGTGGTGGCGTGCTGCTCACGTGCAGGATGGCGCGCACGTCGCTGGATGTCAGGTTCAGCTGTTTGGACTTCCTGTCCAGGTCAATATCCAGTCGTCCCAGTTCATCATCGCTAGTCTCGACGGTGACCGCTCTCTCTCCCATCATCCGCCCACCTGAACAGGAAAGTCCGGGTGTGAACAAACGCTAGCTCTGCCTCCTTTAGCTGATCTTTACACAGCACAGAGGGAGGGTAACTCCCTGTAACCCTCCCCTGTGCAGATCAAATGCGGCCTGCACACAGACTGAACCAGCCAATCAGATCAATCAATCAATCTTTATTTATAAAGCACTTTTCATACAAAAAAATGTAGCACAAAGTGCTTTAGTTAAAAGCAGCCCACCCCACCCTCCAACTCACTCCCCACACTCTCATTAACATAAACGATGTGAATACACACATACCCCCCCACACACACACACACACACACACTTAGAGTAAAATTGGGCTGGGTACGCATGAGCCAAGTGAGGAAACACTATGGTAAATGGCCTGCATTTGTATAGCGCTTTTCTAGCGCTTTACACTACATTCAGTCATCACCCATTCACACACACATTCACACACTGGCGATAGCAAGCTACATTGTAGCCACAGCTGCCCTGGGGCGCACTGACAGAGGCGAGGCTGCCGGACACAGGCGCCACCGGGCCCTCTGACCACCACCAGTAGGCAAACACGGGGTTAGTATCTTGCCCAAGGATATTTGGCATGCAGCCAGGAGGCAGCCTGGGATCAAACCACCGACCTTCTGATTAGTGGCTGACCTGCTCTGCCACCTGAGCTACAGCCACCCGATATATAATAACAGGGAGCCGTCTGCACCGGGAGCCGGTCACAGACCGCAGCCTCCGGGCTGGGCACACAGCAGGAGGGAGGCAAAGAGCCCCCCAGCCAGGCTGAGAGGACCCCAGAGCCCAGCAGCCACGGTCGATCACAGCCCCGGTGCAGAGAGCGCCCTCCGAGGAAACACTGGAGATATGACACAATAGGATATATACAGGGTAAAAGATAAAATAAATAAGAACGGGATACAATATAAATATAAATAGAGTAAGAAGATTAAAAAATGAATAAGAATAAAATCAATAAATATTAGGTAAAGCCTAAATTAATAATAGAATAACAGGATAGAATAAATAAGCATAAAATAAATAAACGCTAAGTAAAAGCTAAATTAAAAAGGTGGGTCTTGAGCCTGTTCTTAAAAACATGTACGTTCTCTGCGGCCCTGAGCTCCTCCGGCAGGCTGTTCCACAGACGAGGACCATACCACTGAAAAGCTGCCTCTCCGTGAGTATGTGTCCTGACTTTAGGGACAATCAAAAGGCCAGTACCAGAGGACCTCAGGGTCCGCGAGGGTTCATATGGTAAAAGCAGATCTGAGAGATAAGAAGGCCCAAGACCATTAAGACATTTAAAAACCAATAAAAGAACTTTAAAATCGATCCTGAAACACACGGGGAGCCAGTGCAGCGATTCTAAAACCGGTGTAATGTGGGCCCGCCCTCTGGTCTTCGTCAGCACACGAGCTGCCGAGTTTTGCAAGAGTTGTAAAGTTGAAATATTCTTCTTAGGAAGACCAGAGAGCAGGGCATTACAGTAATCAATGCGACTGGTAATAAAAGCATGCATCAGCATCTCCGTGTTGGCCCGAGAGAGAATAGGGCGGACTCTGGCTATATTTTTTAGATGATAAAATCCAATTTTGGTTACATGTTTAACATGTGGGATAAAACCAAGCTCAGAGTCAAAAATAACACCCAGGTTTTTCACTTGTAGCGAAGGACATAGTGAAAATGCCTCTAATTTAGACAAGAGTTTCTCTCTCTGAGCCTCAGGACCGACGATTAAAACTTCAGTTTTGTCCTGGTTAAGCTGTAAAAAGTTTTCTGCCATCCAAGATCTTATATCTAAAATACAGTTAAAAAGGGCATCCATTGGTCTGGTGTCATCAGGAGACACGGAGATGTACAGCTGCGTGTCATCAGCGTAACTGTGGAAGTTCACTCCATGCCTCCTGATGACACCGCCGAGAGGGAGCATATACAAATTAAAAAGTACAGGGCCTAGAACCGACCCTTGAGGCACACCACATGTCATTTTATGGATCTTAGAGGAGCATGTATCCATACTCACCATAAAAGATCTGTCAGAGAGACAGGAAGTGAACCAGTTGTGTACAGCACCAGAGAGGCCCACCATGTGTTTCAGTCTGTTTAAAAGAATAGCGTGGTCTACTGTATCAAAGGCTGCGCTTAGATCCAGCAGCACCAGGACTGAGAGCTTTTGGGCGTCCCAGTTACATCTAAGATCATTTAAAACCTTTAGGAGAGCCGTCTCTGTGCTGTGGTTCACCCTAAATCCAGACTGGAATATCTCCAGGATCTGTCTATCATTGAGAAAATCAGTAATCTGAGTAAAAACAAGTTTTTCTAAGACTTTACTTAAAAATGGTAAGTTGGATACAGGTCTGTAGTTATTAAAATCATTACAATCCAAACTGCTCTTCTTCAGAAGGGGCCTCACCACCGCCGTTTTAAAGGCAGCAGGGAAGACACCCAACTGAAGAGAGCAATTCATCATGTATAAAAGCTCAGCCTCAAAAAATCCATAAAGTGTTTTAAAGAGTGAAGAAGGGATTGGATCTAAAAGACATGTGGTGGGTCTCACTGTGGAGAAAACTTTCTGAAGGTTCTCAGCATTAACCAGGACAAAGCTGTCCAGTGTCTCCTCAGGTACAATCGAGCCCTCAGATGTGTTTACAATCATATCGCGATTAGATAAAATATCAGATCTGATGGCGCTGATCGTTTCCCCTGAAGTGGTCTGCAAACTGCTCACAGAGCGAGTCTGTGGGCTTCTTTGGGAGCTGTTAAAATCAGGGTTAAATAAATGATCTATGGTGGAAAAGAGGACCTTGGGATTATTTTTGTTATTACTGATTATTTTGGCGAAGTATGAATTTCTTGATTCCTTAATGTATTATTGTACATTTTAAGTTGCTCGCAAAATATTTGATGGTTGATAGTATTTTTATTTTTCCTCCATCTCCTTTCTGCTGCCCTGCAATTTCTTTTGAGTTTTTTGACTTCTTCGTTTCTCCAGGGTGATGCATGTTTTACGTTAATCTTTTTGGTGGTGAGTGGAGCAACGGAGTCAAGGCTTTTCTTCAGTTTGCTGTTAAATGATTAAAAATCAAATCGCAGGGTGCAGGTAAAATCACAGGGGGGCATTCGTCTAAAACCCTGGTAAAATTTGCAGCCACTTCAGAGGTTAGATAGCGCCTCCTCACAGTTCGCACCGAGGTCTCCCGCTGAATAAAACCGGTGATGTTAAAAAACACACAGTAGTGGTCAGAGACAGCCATCTCTC